ATATACTGATGTAGTTTTCTGCATATTGGTCGACAAATATGAAAGTAGTTAGTTTCGGCCCGGAACAACCTTTTCTACAGTGGAAATACACGGAACGGTTCGAGAACGGACACAATCCGGGAACCCGTACCGCGACCTGTGTTCTCTTCGTGTGCGCTGCACGCAAACAGGGCGCAAGTTCTTTCCACTCCTGCAATTAAATCGTTTTTTAAATCATTAAAATGCGAACGCAGGAATCGTTAAGCAGAACCGAAATGCACGCGTCTTATCGAATACCCGGTTCTTGGAAATTTGGAACCGGTTCTAAAATGGAACCGGTTTTCGATACCCAGCCCTATACATAACTAAAACTGAAATAAAATGTAGTAAAAATCTAAAAAACATAAAAATGAGAAAAACAAAAATTAAATAGACGTAAAAATGACAAAAACACACAATAAAATTACTAAAACTAAACTAAAAATATATTTTAGGTTTTCATGCATAATTTTTTTTTTTAATTTACTTTAAATCACGTCGATAAAGTGATTTGATCCTTATTCTAGTCAGTGCCAATAATTTTAGTTTTTATATATATATAGCCAGAGAGACTGTAAATGCCCATGACGTTCAGTGAGTGTAAGTGTGGAGTGGATCTTCTCAGATTATTTGCTTCCTTCAGTTCTTCAGATAAGAGCCAATGTGCGGCGCAGCAATAAGACCTAATGACGTCTCATTCCAGCGTGGACGGCTCTCGACTCCTGAGCCCTGACCAATAACAAGAGCTTTTCATGTGGACTCGAGAGGCTCTCAGTGGGTTCCTCAGACGTGTTACTTCAGCTCCTCTAATGCCATTCTCCTTCAGATTAGGAGCTCGTATTGAGTTGTTGACCGTTTATAAGTCACTTTGGATAGCAGCTGAATGGATAATTCAGTGGCTTTTACGATAGTTTTGATTATTATTTTTATTATATAAAATTACCCTCTTAAATAAATTTTTTTTAATCATTTTCAAAGTTTTTAAATTCCTTGTTTTATTGTTGTGATTATTTTTTTTTTCTTTTCTTTTATGTAAAGCACTTTGAATTACCATTGTGTATGAAATGTGCTATATAAATAAACTTGCCTTGCCTAGAATAAGCTTGTAAATTCCAGGGGCCACGTCCAAATGAAGCGATGGCTACGGCTCGACAAGCACAAATTCACACAGGAGAAGAGAATCCACCGCGAAACATTCACGCAACAGCTGGACTAATGCACACAACGCATGAAAAGCTCTGATTCAGATCTGCTGCTGAGTTACAGTAACATTAAACTTCACTGAGGTTTGTGACGGACTTTTGAAATCAAGTGTGAAGCTGAAGGAAGATGAACACGAGGCTGGGTGATAATATTTTACAATATTTAATGCAAATTTGGATGTGAATTTGCTCTGAAATAACACTTCTTTTGCAATTGAGGTTTAAATAAGAAAAGCTGTAAAAAAAAATAAAATAAAAAAATTTATTAAATCTTGTAACGTGGCATTAATTATTTTTTTTTTTTAATTGTGAAGCCAGTCCACTGGACATCAGAAAAAAATAAAATAAAATAACAAAATAAAATTAAATGAAAAAAAATTAAATAAATAAATAAAAAACAAAACAAAATAATAAAATAAAATAAAATAAAATAAAATCCGTGTGCTCTCCTGTTCAAGAAACGGTCCTTGGCCTTCCCAACCGTTCTGCTATTCTCAATCCTCTTGCCATTTGCTATTAACTAAAAGGAAGCAGAGAGTGACATCTTGTGGTCATCTTTGATCAAGTCACCATAGAGACTGGGAAGAAAATTAAGGGTTCACACAAAACAAGGGGAGTCTGCTTTTAGTTATTATGCCGCCCGCAGTTGGAATCAGCTTCCAGAAGAGATCAGATGTGCTAAAACATTAGTCACATTTAAATGCAGACTCAAAACTCATCTGTTTAGCTGTGCATTTATTGAATGAGCACTGTGCAATGTCCGAACTGAATGCACTATATTTTATGTATAATCGTTTTCTTAAATTCATTTTAAACCTCTTAAATAAATTTTTTTTAATCATTTTCAAAGTTTTTAAATTCCTTGTTTTATTGTTGTGATTATTTTTTTTTTCTTTTCTTTTATGTAAAGCACTTTGAATTACCATTGTGTATGAAATGTGCTATATAAATAAACTTGCCTTGCCTAGAATAAGCTTGTAAATTCCAGGGGCCACGTCCAAATGAAGCGATGGCTACGGCTCGACAAGCACAAATTCACACAGGAGAAGAGAATCCACCGCGAAACATTCACGCAACAGCTGGACTAATGCACACAACGCATGAAAAGCTCTGATTCAGATCTGCTGCTGAGTTACAGTAACATTAAACTTCACTGAGGTTTGTGACGGACTTTTGAAATCAAGTGTGAAGCTGAAGGAAGATGAACACGAGGCTGGGTGATAATATTTTACAATATTTAATGCAAATTTGGATGTGAATTTGCTCTGAAATAACACTTCTTTTGCAATTGAGGTTTAAATAAGAAAAGCTGTAAAAAAAAATAAAATAAAAAAATTTATTAAATCTTGTAACGTGGCATTAATTATTTTTTTTTTTTAATTGTGAAGCCAGTCCACTGGACATCAGAAAAAAATAAAATAAAATAACAAAATAAAATTAATTTGCATAATGATGCATTTAAAAGTTAATGACCAAAAGTATCATTATAAAAGTTCACAGTGTTGCCGCAGATGAAATATAACGTGGATAACATTAAATTAATTTTTTTTCATCAGGTTAGACATTGATTATTTCTCACTCAAATCCGTTTATCTACCTGTACGTTGGTCGCATATATGCGCCATGTTTGTAGTTTTTAACACTTTTAATGCGTGCTTGTAGTTCTAATTGAATCTGATTGCACTGATTCAATGATCTATTCAGAGTGAGTCTTCATGTCTGACTTTTAGAACTGATTATTGTAAATGGAAATCATATTTAGGTTATGACTGTCAGTTATTTGTGAATTAAAGTTGTTGTGAAACCAGTCCACTGTCCATCAGGAAACTTAATGGATAAAATGATATTAAATAATATAATATAATATTTTAAAAAATCAAGTAATTTTGTGCTTTTACACTTTATTAAAATTTATTCAATTATGTATTTAAAAAACTGCTAGCCTCATTACTTATATTGCATGTGTAAAACAGAGTCTCGCTGGGAAGAAAACTAAATCCCCACCAGAGCAACAATTTAAATCGCTTTAAAAAATGAATTAAAGCACTCCCGCTGACTGCGTAATCCTGCGCTTTTATAAATGAGATCAGGCAGAGTAATTGATACAGGCGGCAGGAGATTAATTAGCCGTAATTTTTAGTCTTTACTCAAATTGTTCCAACAAAAGAAACTCGAAGCATGAAAAAGGCAGATTACACGCACAGCCAGAGAGCAATTAATTCAATTTAGAAAGCTCAAGTCTTACACTTTCACTGCCTCAATGCTAAACACTGCACTCGTTTTGTAATAAAAGATGATAATTAAACACTTGTCAAGGTACTTTAGCTGTAGCTACGCTTGCATTGTATTTCTAATGTTTTAAACTCTGTTCTGAGCATTGATTCTCATCAGCCGAATGCATACTGAGGTTAAGCTGGGACAGAAAGCTCTGGAAACAAATTGATCACCATTGTTTTTCAGTCCAATGCAATGCATGTATGATTGAGCAGAATCTTTGTTTGATTCAGCTCTGTCTCTCTCTGTTATGCTGTTTTAGTGGAATCAAACTAAATGCAACTTTATGCACTACAATGCATGAAAGTGAGCATGCACAAATTGAAGCGCTTGTTGAAGTATGGAACGAATGCATGGAAAGATATTTCAGTGTTATTTAATGTTACATCAAAAAGGTCGGACATACAAATCAAAATCAGATTCATAAAACAAGCTGACAGAAATAATACTGTGTAATCTTGAACATGTTCTGGCATCCGTTGGGCTCAAACCGGCGAAATGTCTGAAATAATCAAAGATAAAGGCTATTAAAGGCAGATGTTTGTCTGGTTTTATGATGTGAAAGTCCTCCCTGCAGTGAAATCAGTGCAGCAGCTGCTGAATAACACATAAAGCCTTCATGTGATTTAGATGATCGTTGACTAGAATGACGGTCCGAATCTGAATAGTGAAAGCAAACGTGATTGTTTCTCACACCGCTGTGATTAATGAACTCGTTTAGCATTGTGTCTAAACATCACTATCTGTCTGCTCTGATCTGATACAGGAGACGATTGAAGGTGAACAATGTCCTTTCTGCAACACTGACAGCATTCAAAGGAATGAAAACACTTTTATATTTAATATATTTAATATGATTTTTATAAGTTTGCAAATTATATTTATATTTAGATACACACATTATATGATATACTTTTAAAAATTACATTTTGTTTTCTATAAATGTGACCCTGAACCACAAAACCAGTCATAAGGGTAAATTTTTTGAAATTGAGATTTATACATCATCTGAAAGCTGAATAAATAATCTTTCCATTGATGTATGGTTTGTTAGGATAGAACAATATTTGAAAATCTGGAATCTGAGGGTGCAAAAAAAATCTACTAATAAAAAATTAAGTTTTGATATATTTACGGTAGGAAATTTACAAAATATCTTCATGGAACATGATCTTTATTTAATATCCTCATGATTTTTGGCATTAAAAGAAAAATCAATAATTTTGACCCATACAATGTATTGTTGGCTATTGCTACAAATATACCCCAGCGCACAAATTACATTGTAATGAAACATGATAATGAACCAATAATGTAAAAACAGAGGCAATAAATGGAATGGAAAAAATAACATTTTATATCTATTTAATTATATCTATATAAAATTATAGAGAGAGAGATTTTTATATTTTCCATTTTCCTTTTAATTTTAGTTAAAGTTTTAGCAATTTTTCTGTGTTTTTGTCATTTTTGGTTGTTTATATATGCATGTACTGTATGTCTATATAATGTTTATTATTTTTTATGAAGTACTGAACTTCACAAAATTTGGTAACACTTTATTTTAAGGTGTCCTTGTTACACATTACATGTACTTACTATTATAATAACAATAAATTATGCACGTTTACATGCCAGTAACCCTAAGCCAATCCCTAATCCTAACCCTAACTACATGTAGTTAATTAATATTACTCATTACTTAAATTTATAATTACACTGTAACAAGGACACCTTAAAATAAAGTGTAACCTTATATATATATATATATATATATATACACACACACACACACACACGCACGCGCACACACACACACATATACATATATAGGGTGGGAGAAAATATAAATTCTCTGATGCATCACGATTCTCTCTTCAACAATTCTGAACATTTCAGAATCGATTCTGAGCTTTGTTTTTCCCGCATATGGCACGTGTGTGCGCTAGAGACAATCGTGGCGGGCTTCATTGCACAGAATATGCTCTGAGAGACACGTGTGCATTGTTTGACAGTGTGTGCTTTCACCCACCGGCTAAATGCACTTGCATCTACGAATACTTTTATACGAAACTGATGTAAACACAGTGAGTTATGTTTTCAGAACAGGACAAAACATCTGATATATCGAAATAGATCTGTGCATTAGTGTGAATGCAGCCCATCAAAGCTGTAATGTAAACGGCAATAATGCTGCGGAAAAAAGAAAAACCCATAACTATTGTCTGTAAGCTTTCGGATACTTAAAGAACACTTAATTTAAATAGGTAATTATTTTACCCCTAATATATATATATATATACACACACACACACATCTACTGAACTGACATACAAGAAGTTATTTTCAACAGTTCACCATTACCCTTAAGAGCACTTAGCAGATCACCTTCAAGAACATTCACCTGCATCATGAGCAAAGGCAGATGTGAGAGGAGCGTGTTTGTATTATTACACACACATCTCCTCCTGTAACGACTGCAGTGATTCGAGGCTCTGTCAGCACTGATGCTCTGCGCTCTCGTCCGTCGGTCTCTGGTAATAACAGCTCGTGATGAGCACCAATACTTCAGTCTGTCGAGAGCGCCAGCGCATCCTAATGAAGGGACGGAGATCAGCGAACCCTGGAGAGCTGCTTCAGCTGATAGAAGAGAGACGCTCCTCTCCTCATTCATCACGAGAGGCTTTACTCCAGCAGAAACCCCGACTGATGTGCTTTTTAAGTAGATGGAGCTCATCATTACTATTGCAGGCACAAGATGATGCGGGTATGAGAAAAAAAACATGCACAACTGCAACTAACTACAACAAAACAATCAGGAACACCGTGTCATCGTCTAATCATGATGCTCAAAACATGTAATGTATGACTTCTGATCCAAAACCAGAGATATAGGAGAATGACCAAGCTACTCTTTTCTATCAATATGAATCTCAATCAGATCTGATGCAATCATGACATGCTACTGATATCACACCTGCTTATGACTCTGCAAATTAAGCTGGGATTTTAAAATATATAAGATTCAAATAAAAAAATTAAATAAATAATAATATATATAAAATATATATAATATAAAATAAATACACTGATAATGTCATAAATATAATACAATAAATAAATAATTTCAACAATCCAAAACTGTTACTGTGATCCCTAAAATTAAAATAAATAAATTAAAAATTATAAATAAAAAAATTAATAAAAAATTAAATGAATTAAAAATGTAATGCAATTATAATAACATTGAATAAACAAATAATTAAACCAACCAACTTTGTAGTAACATTTATTTATTTCTGTCATGACCACTATCGCCAAGGATGATTGACAGTTTGGATTGGCTGTTGAAATAGATTCAAAGTGAATCAGAAGGCCGAATCTTGACTGGACGAGAGGAGGAGCTGGGGATGGAGGAGGGTAATTAGCTATTGAGCAACGCAAAAGCTGCTGATAATACTGAGGGACCTTATATATGGGTGCTGTGATAGATGTCGCATCCCTATAGGTATAGATGTGGATCAGCTGAGATTTAGCTGACACGAGCTTGACTTATGTGACCTGCCAGAACTAACGCTACGCTTGATTTCTGTTCATTTTCAACAGTCCAAAACTGTTACTGTAATCACACACATGATTTCCGACCAACATGATATCTACTGCTTTCATTCAACAGCCTTGCAAAGAAAATGTAAGAAGTTCTAAAAGAATCTAAAGGAGTCACAACGCAAATAGCTCCACCCACTGACACTGCTGTTGCCTGGATACCAACAGTCCAGGTATGACACTGTTATGGGTTCAAAAGCTCATCAGCCAATCAGACGTTACTGTTATAAATACATGGTAAAGTTTTAAAAGTGGAGCCGAGAATGGGACTGAAAGCATAGGACTCTCCAGGGTGACAAAGAATTTATGAACCAGAAGGTCAAAGTGTGCAGCTGACCCCTGAAGGTCAAAGGTCATGGGGAAGACTTCACATTGAAAAGAGACCTGATGCTCCACAAACTCGAACCCAGACACTTCACTTCATCACCCTGCTGACAGCAGTCCTGCATGGGAACTTTTACACGGTTACACCAGATAAAAAAACATGAAAATATCAGCGGAATCTGCTGACAAAGCTGCAAAATCAGCTCTCAGACACAAAACGTGTGGGATTCATTTCTATGTATAATTCTTTTTTTAATAAATACATTTAAAATAATTAATAAATAAATAAACATTTACAATGAATACATTTAAATAAAAATAAAACAAAATAAAAATTTAACATTTAAAATGAATACATTTAAATAAACTATTCAAAATAAATAAATAAAACTGAATTAAAATGAATAAAAATAAATGAATACATTTAAATAAAAATTTTAAATAAATAAATTTAAATATATAAAATAAACATTTTAAATAAATACATAAATACATAAACAAATAAAATTAAATTAAAAAAAACATTTAAAATGAATACATTTAAATAAAAAACAAATCAAATAAATAAATACTTAAAATCAAAAATTAAAATTATAACTTTTAAATAAATACATACATACCCTTATTTAAATTGCCATTTGGTTGCAATTCACTATTACCCCAACACAACAAGAGGACCAGGCTGATAGTGTAAAGTTTGGCTGCATGAGGTGAGCTTAATGTTAACATTAGCATGAAGTCCTCAGTGTTTACTGCATCGGTGTGCAGTCTGAATGTTAATGTCCGTTTTCTCGTTCTCACCTCTCACTCTGCTGAAGTGTATTAAAGGGTGTCTGTGTGTTACAAGGCAGGCAGGACACAAGATAAACACCTCGCTGAAGGAGGGACGTGAAAACTACTGGGGAAAATCTAAATCTGATAAAACCTCCCTTTGTGGATGCATCCAAAAATAAGAATTATTTCTAAAGCAAGTAAGTATTATATATAATTATAATATATATATATTATTTATTATTATTTTATTTATTTATCATTTTTAGAAGTGTTTGCATTAGGTTAGGAAGACAAGCATGCGATGCAATAAAATACAGTGCAATAAAATACAAAACAAAACAAAAAAACAGCCTTAAAAAAAGCTTTATATAAAAACAGAACAGTTATTTTTATATTAAGTAAATCATGTTTTTTTTTTAATGTATTTTTTTTGGATAAAGTAGGGTTTGCATCAAGTTAGAAAGTAATATGTAATGCATGCAATAAAATAAAATGCAATGCAACAAAACAATACAAAACAAAAAGTGCCTCTACATAAAACGAGTTTGACACCACTGGGTTTACATTAGCAATGCAATACAATGAAATGCAATGAAATGAGTTTGACACCGCTGGGTTTACATTAGTTTATGGTCATTATAATTTGAAGTCTATGATACGTCCTCATTTCAATGTGTGTATTCATTCCTGTACCATCACTACCAGCTGTGCCCTGCACTCCCAAGAGCTCGTGAATACTGAGGGGACGGGAGCCTCAAACACACACACACACACACACACACACATTCATACCTCCTC